AGCCCCGCCCCCTTTTTAAAATAGCCAATAGCATTTGTTTATATCTGCTCGGGTCAGAGCCGTTGAGCTCGGTAAAGCCACATTGGACAGCCACAATCTAATAGATTACCCCCTAGATTCAATATGAAACTCTTAGTAAAACAAAATAGTGGTCATAATCATGCTGAGGCTGTGTCGTTGTAAAAGTTTTTAATATATGCCGACTCGCGCATATGATCCGCTCCGTGCAATCGTGTCTCCGGACCGGAGCCAAAGTCCGGATCAGACTGTGTGCGCTGCCGCGGTTCGGGTGAAACAACATGAAACCAGACCTCCTTTGCCCCAATGGAAAGCATATTTACACTGTCTGAATCGTTCCCTATCGCCTACATTGTGCACTTCGAGCCATTCACTGTACAGGAAATACTACACTGTGAACAAGTGACCGATCTCAGCCGCTTCAGCGTCTATTTATATTGAAGGGGGCGGGCGCTTCGGATTCTAGAGAGCATTTGATTGGTCAGAAGATTTGATGAAAAGATGAAGTACGATGTGACCTCATAAAAAATCGTTGAGCCGTTTTGGCGGAAGTGAGGAACTGCAAGCTTTGAATGCTTATATCTTCTAAATGTGAATTTTGTCACTGTTTTGGAGCACACTGCTTTATAGATAACCTTACGACTAACATATTGATACGAACACCCAAAAAACTTTTATTTTGATTTCATGGGGACTTTAGCCAGTGGTGTTTCTGGACCCGTATATGTGCCCATATGTACATTTCAGACTTCAGATGCACACTGTGGATTGTGTTTGGCCCATTGATCAAGTGCTTAAATCACATTTAATTAAGATGAGAAATTATGTTTGTACACTGTAGTCGTGGTTAGGATGTGGTTGGGATAACAAAAGTGTGTTCATTTAACACTATATTAAGAAATAAACAAAATTCATTATTCAAACTTTGTGGGTTGTTAAGATTTGTAAACATTTTTAGAAAGAAGTCCCTTATGCTCGCCGCATTTATTTGCTCAAAATATACAGTAAAAACAGTAAAATTGTGAAATGTTTTTACAATTTAAAATAACTGTTTTCTGTTTGGATATATTGTAAAATGTAAGTTACTGCTGAATTTTCAGCAACATTTCTCCAGACTTCAGTGCCACATGATCCTTCAGAAATCATTCTAATATGCTGATTTGCTGCTCAAAAACATTTCTCATTATTATCAATGTTGAAAACACTTTTGCTGCTTCATATTTTTGTGCAAACTTTTTTTCAGGATTCTTTGATGAATGTAAAAAACAACAACAAAAACAACAGCATTTACTGTATTTGAAATGGAAATATGTTGTAATATTATAAATCTATTTATTGTCTATTTATTGTGTTTTTATCAATTTAATGCATCCTCCCTGAATAAAACCGTTTTCTTTTTATGAATCTTGCTAAATGTAATTGTGCACATACTGTAGATGTTCATGTATTAAAAAATGAACATTAAACATTTTCAGTTTAGTGATGTAAGTGGCACAGAAACAACATACTTTGGCTTTAAAATGAGAATAAGATGCTGAATAATGAAGAAAAAACCCCCACTGCTCTTACCTTTCAATAGAAACAATAATCGCTCTGTTCTGCTCATTTCTTTCATTTCTGCAGCTCTTGTCACCTTTGGCTCCTTTTGAAGTTGCTAATCACATTTCTGAAATTATTATTAAAGTATCACAGAGACTTTGAATTTACATGAAAATTAATCATTGCTCCCTTTGGAAATGCCCTCCACAATTAAAGATTCCTGAGCCTTTTATTAATGAGACTTGACTCTGTCAGTCTGCATGGAGAGATAACATATTTAAATCTACCGTAGTGTTACGCAGCAAATCTCTGCAGACCTCGCATGACAACATAAAGACACAACACACAGTAAGTCAAGCAACAGAGCCTCTCAGCGTGACACGTAAAGAGAAAGTCTACGCGTAAATGCTATTGAATGAGACTGAATGAGTGAATTTCACCTGTTGAATTGCCCCAGGGGACATAAATAGTCTGTGATCCCTTTTCAAAGGCCCAATGGAAGCAAAATTTGAGTTTTGTGGCTTTTAATCCCTTCATATACAGATTTAAAGGAGCCATGTGATGAGGAATTCACTGGTTTCTTGGTTTGAGAAAACATACTGTGACATTCAGAACTTAAAACTCAAAACATTTATTGAAAATAGGCAGCAAAAAAAGGCTCGTTTTGCACTTCTGCAATTTGTGATGTCAGAAATGTTAGTGAAGTTGAGTTGAAGCTAGGGATGCACCGAAATGAAAATTCTTGGCCGAAGCCGAACAAAATGAAACACTGGGCCGAAGGCCGAATACCGAATTTTTTCACCCATTTTGCCAATTCTTTTCACCATTGCATAAATTAAATAGCCAAAATGTGCTTTAAAAATATTTACTTAACACTGAAAAATGTTTTAACATTCTAGCAGACATTATATCAATATAACACAATTTAACTTAAAATTAATAAGTTAGTCAAATAATATTTTTTGGCCATTTTTGAGACCCCCTTCTTGAATCAGGCATGTGTTTTTTACTGTACAAATAAATGCAGCCTTGCTGAGCAGAAGAGACTTCTTTTAAAACATTAGAAAATATTACAGATCCCAGTTTGAACACTATGTGTGAATGCTATAATAAATGTATTAATAGAGCTGTTGTAAGTATTATTATTATCATTATTATTGTCCTTTTTATTTTATTTTACAGAACAACAGTAAAAATTACAATAATAACATTTATTAATGTTGATGGAGTTCTTGGATTTTCTCAACGTTTATTTTGGCAGAAACCCACAGGAAGACCTCAGTGCTTCTTTTTGTTGATTGAAATGAAATTATTTTCATTACGAATTTGGGAAGACGTTTGTTGCACGTATCAGATTGTCACATGCCTTGTAAAAATGAATAAAAATGTTACTGAGCAACTGACGAGTAACACTATTTTAGCTCAGATTTTCCTCGCGCTTTGGACTTTGAAATGCAGCGCTGTTTGAATACATGCAATTCGTGCGCGTATTAGAAAACACAACGTTCTGCAGTTTATTTAATTGTTTAAGAGCATTTCGCGATTTCAGTCATCATACAGTAACATAAGAAATAGCTTTTTTGCTATTTTCGGCTGAATAATTTCGGTTGCCGAGCATTCGGTGCATCCCTAGTTGAAGCTTATTTTTAACAATAAAAATACTGATTGTTTCAGTCTGATCTTAGAAGTTTGAAGGGCACATTCGCAAGCTTGTGTGTTTGATTAATTTATCTAAGTGTGCAGGTTTTGGGCAGCAGATATGTTGTTATTGAAAGATGAAATAACAAATAAATAAATAATAAATAAAATGCTTATGAAAACCCAAAATATGCTAGTAATTCAGATGTTCTTGCTTGCATTGAAGCTCGAGATGCTCTACATCTCAAATCATGCAGGAGAACATGATCATCAGGTTTTGATCAAGTATGCTCCAGTGCTGCTTTCATTACAGCAAAAATTAGCATTTTGAATGCAGAGTAGAAATCCGCTAGTGCTCTCAGACTTTTGGATGTTAAACAGGAACAGTAACAATAACTAGATGAGTAAAGATTAAAGATACACTTGTCTGAAAGTTTTAAATAACTTTAAAAGCTTGAATTTTGAAGGTTTTACTCAGAGAAAGTAAGTGTTGCTACATGTTTTAGCACATTGCTGTTGTTTTAACAAGTTGCTAGCATACTTCCAACGTTTTTACATCTCCTTAGCATGTTTTAGCACATTGCTAATGTTTTGCAATGTTCTAGCATGTTTTAGCAAGTGGTTAACATGTTACAAGCATTTTGTCTAACGTATTGTAACATTGTTCACATGTTTCTTGTACATTTTAATGTTTCTAATATGTTTTAACACACTGCTAACATGTTTTACCATGTGGCTAGCGTGTTTCTAGCATATGTTAACATTGTTAGCATGTTTATAGTATGTTTTAATGTGTTTTGAACATATTTTTTATTTACCATGGCTGTTTCTAGCATATTTTAACATTGTTAGCATGTTTCTAATATGCTTTAATACTTTTTAAAAGTATTTATCACATTGCTAACATGTTTTACCATGTGTCTATATATTTCTAACATATTTTAACATTGTTAACATGTTTTAATGTGTTTCTAACATGTTTTAACACACTGCTAACATGTTTTACCATGTGGCTAGCATGTTTCTAGCATATTTTGGCAAATTGTTAACATGTTGATAACATTTTTACACATTACTAGCATTTTCTAGCATACAGTATTTTAGCACATTGCTAACATGTTTTTCCATGTAATTAACATGCTTCTTGCATGTTTTCACAAATTGTTACATTTTAGCACATTACTAGTATTTCTCTAGCATATTTTAACACATTGTTAACATGTTTTTTAGTTAGTTTTAACATGTTTCTAGCATGTTTTAACAATACTAATATGTTTTTACATGCTGTTAGCTCATTTCTAGCATTGGTTTAGCAAGTTGTTAGCATGATCCTAGTATGTTTAAACATGTTTTAGTATGACATTGCTTATGTTTTAACACATGAGGGTTAGGGTTAACACATTGCTAACATTTGTAGAACATGTTTAATCATGTTTTAGCATGACTGATGTTAAAACATGCTTTACATTCTAAATGTTGACAGTATTTTAACATTTTCCCTGCATGTTTTAACATATTTCTCATATGTTTTAGTCTGTTGTTAGCATTTGGTTAACATGTTTTAGTATGTTGCTAGCATGTTCTCAGCATATTTTAACATGTTGTTAGGCTTACTTAGTGTGTTGCAGGCTAGTTGTTAGGTTTTGCTAGTGATATGGCAGCTTAAATACTCTATATCAGTTATTGTATGAAAGTTTTCACCCCCTCAGTGAAAGACTATGTGAATTTGGGCCTGTTCCGAAGCCTGATATGGGAATTCTGTAAGTCAAGCCAACATGATGATCGATTTATGTTGTTTCCTACAGGATACAGGAGCTGAAAGATCTGGGAGAGCTCTCACCACACTGGGACAACCTACGGAAGGATGTAATCTCTCGCTACGACCAGATCATCAAAGAATACCAGGACACGCTGGCGGAGCTGGAGAAACTTACTGGTAAAGGCTTCAGATCCAATGAAGCATGATCTCTCTTACACACACACATGCACTTAATATGCAGTCTTTCTCATTTTGCATGCATGAGGCTTTATACAATGCAAACAGTTTCCACAATTTGCATGCGACATTGCTGAATTGATCAGCAGTGCAGGTTGTAAAAGCATGATTTTTTTTGTGTCCGGCAATTTCTTAGTTCATCAAATTTTCATACGCAGCTCACAGTTAGCTGTCACATTCAATGCAACGTTAAACTCGCATGGTTGCACGTTGTAGAGGAACAAGCATACAGAAAGCGTTCGCTTTTAAAGCTGCCTTCTATTGCATTAGCCTGTATAAAGCTTGTTCACAGTAAACACATATTTGTCGCTTTCAATAATAACAAGACGTACTGTAGTGTTGCGACTGCATGCATTGCCTGATTTTTGTGTGCTGGAGCAATGCAGCCAACTAAACTTGAATCGACTGAAAAATGGATAAAAGAGTCTGATTTTATGCTGCTGTTCAGAAGCACATAAGCCAAAATGACAAATAAGACATTGCCGCAGTGCATTTTGCAATAGCGATGGCCATGTAAGCGTTATATGTCTCTAGCAGTTGACACATTGCTACTGTCATGCGGTATATGCCATCATCTCGCCCCAGCTCTAGTATGATCCATATTGTTGGAGGAAAAATAAAACGGAGCACAGAAAGCCAGTATTTGTCAGCTGTGTCGCACCTCACACCAAGCAAAAATAGTCATTGATGATCTTGGCCTTCTAATCAGCCGTGACGGGATGAAAAAACTGATCTGCCTGATCGATCGACCCATTACCGAGGCTTATATTCAGAGATGAAATTGTGCAGGCTTGTGTTTTACCAGCTGAACGGTGTTGACGTGTCCGTCCCTGAAGGATGAGAGGAGAGACGGCGAGATCTCAGGTTGTTCTCAGGTTGTTCGACAGCCCATGAGTGGCCAGCTGCTACATCGGTCTCTAATCTTGTTTGCCGTGTAGCAGACGCCCTGCTCCCTCTCAGCCGCTCCCATCTTCCCTTTTTCCCTTGATACCAGGGACTGTGTATTTTATATATATTTTTTTGTAATCTAACTTGTTGTTCAGAAAAACAACTTAAAACGAGTTCCAGCATAAAATGAGTTTTCACTTCAGGAGTTGTGTTCTTTAACGAATCTTAAAGGGGAAGTGTGTCATTTTTGTTTTACCAATGTTAAATTTGTTTCTATCCCAGCAGAGATTCAAACTAGTAAGTTATTTGTAGATTGATTCTCCTAAAAGGCTCTGTACTGCTGTAAAACATTGTATAGTTTTTTTTATAATCTAAGAACTAACGTTCACAGAACATTGCAGGGAGGTTTTTGTGACAACCTAATAAAAACTAATACTAATGCACAACATTCTTTAATGGTTATTTTTAGGTTGCTTTTTAATTACCCTAAAATAACTAATTTCTGTCTTTAAATACACAGGCTGAATTTATCATACAAAAAGTGTAGTCCTCGAAGACTTCTTAATGGTGCGTTCAAGTCCTCATGGGAAGTTCGTATATGTGTGAGCAGAGAAGTTGTGATTGCAAAGTGTTCAAGTCACTTACATTGGAGCAAGATGTAACATTTTTACAAAAAAAATACAACATTTTTGAATTCTATTTCTACAAATTAAAAAATAAAGAATGTGCATGTGTTTTTGTCTTAAGGTGCTCTTATATTTGCAAAATTTCACCGATAAAAAGATCTGTTGTCTTTTGTCATTAATATAGCTATGTAGAAAGTGCTGCTCACAGGGAAAACACTTGCAAACCAAGCAGCTTTCTGTCGGTCAGCATTTATTTTTCAAATCAATACAGATGCTGCATATTGTGTCAACCGTGTTTTTTTGACACTGTATCAACTTGGAAACTCAGCACTTAAAGAAATTATTTTATTCTTAATTAAAACTTTGTGCTGGCGTTCATGTGTGTTCAACTCGAAAATACAATCTTTCTGACATGAAACGCCTCATGAAATCACTAGGCGGACTTATTTCCTCTAAAACAGGTTTAGGTGGGATGGTGTGTCACTTGCCCCTTGTCCAAATACCTACTCTTGCGGTTAGAGCTGCACGATTCTGGATAAATTGAGAATCACCATTTTTTTGTCTCAAATAGAGATCACGATTCTCCCACGATTCTTTATTGCATTATTGCTGCAGTCTATTTAAAAATGTTTAATACATTTTAATGAATTATTATACATTTTAATATGCACTACCAGTCAAAAGTTTTTGAACAGTAAGATTTTTTATGTTTTTTAAAGAATTCTCTTCTGCTCAGCAATGCCTCCTGCATTTATTTGATCCAAAATACAGCAAAAGTAGTAATATTGTGAAATATTTTTACAATTTAAAATAACTGCTTTCTATTGTAATATATTGTAAAATGTAATTTATTCCTGTGATCAAAGCTGAATTTTCAGCATCATTACTCCAATCACATGATCCTTCAGAAATCATTCTGATATGCTGATTGCTGTTCAAGAAACAGTTTTTTATTATTATTTTTATCAATATTTAAAACACTTGAGTACATTTTTTCAGGATTCTTTGATGAGTAGAAAAAAAGATCAGCATTTATTATACTGGTACATATTACACTATGACTATACAATTCAAAAGCTTGGAGTCAGTTTTTGTTTTGTTTTTTTTGGGGAAAGAAATTATTACTTTTATTTAGCAAGGATGCTTTAAATTGATCAAGTGATGATAAAGACATTCATAATGCTACAAAATATTTCCATTTCAGATAAATGCTGTTCTATTCATCATCTGAAAAATTCTACTCAGCTGTTTTCAACATAATAAAAATATATTTTTTTTTTTTGAGCAGCAAATCAGAATATTTGAATGATTTCTGAAGGATCATGTGACTTGAGTAATGATGCTAAAAATTCAGCTTTGAAATCCAGCTTTGAAATCAGGAATAAATTACATTTTAAAATATATTCAAATAGAAAACAGTTATTTTAAATAGTAAAAATATTTCAGGGGGGGTGATTATATAAATTAATCCTTTAAATTGATCAAAAGTACGATAAAGACATTTATAATATTACAAAAGATTTCTATTTCAGATAAATGCTGTTCTTCTGAACTTTCTATCAAAGAAACCGGGAAAAAATCTACTCAACTGTTTTCAACAATAATAAAAAATGTTTTTTTTTTACAGCAAATCAGCATATTAGAATGATTTCTGAAGGAACATGTGACACTAAAGACTGGAGTAATGATGCTGAAATTTTTGCTTTGAAATCACAGTAATAAATTACATTTTACAATATATTCAAATAGAAATCAGTTATTTTAAATTGTAAAAATATTTCTAAATTGTACTGTTTTTGCTGTACTTTGGATCAAATAAATGCAGGCTTGGTGAGCAGAAGAGACTTCTTTAATAAAAAAAAACATTAAAAATCTTAAAATCTGGTAGTGTATATATAATATATTTAATACACCAATTTTTAATATTACAATTATGAAAAAGTTGTTTGAATCAATGATTCAACGACTCACTCATAAACCTACTTCACTTATTTCATTACTGGATGAATCAGCATTTTTGAAGGATTCTCTTGAATGAATAATTCACTCAATAACAAATACATTTAAGTCACTTTTCGCCACTTAGTGGCGAAACAATGCAATTGACACAAACGTTATTTGAAGCGTAGTTACTTTCAAAAGGTGATTTGCTCTATTTTGATCGCTGCCATAGATATCAATGTTTATATCTGAACTATAAACTTTCACCCCAGTATTTCTGTGATAATATGAATGACTGTAAGACAGAAATAATACCGTGTAGTTGAAAAGACAGTTCTATGTAATTATATGTAATTATTGTATTAATATTTAACCATGACGTCTCGTGAGATCTCAACAAAAATTTCACGATTTATTTCAAAACATGATGCATGATGGGATACACTAAGCCTCGAATAGCGCTCTGGAGCTGTATTCAAGATAGTGTAAATTTAGTGTGCGTTAAGTGCACTGCGTTTTTAGGACACTGGACAGTCTTGCGCACTTAGACCGCAAGTGTGGGTATTTGGACAAGGCATTGGTCTCTTCTGGTCTCTTCTTTTTAGCATTTAGTTAGCCTACATCACAGCCGTGTACCATGATTTGATACATGCTAATTAGTGATGGGAAGTTCGGATCATTTTACCGACTCGGACCTTTGAGTCTCGTTCAGCAAAATGAACAAATCCTTTTTCGAGTCATTTCGTTCATTTTAGCAAAATGTAATTAAAATGTTACGTGTAACTTCCCTAATACGTCTACTACTTACGCAAACGTTGATCACACTACAAACAATACAAAACTGCTATAAGAAACAGAAAAGATGAATTCATTGTTTACCTGGGCCTTCAGTCTATGATTAGCTCACCTCACCTCTTATCTGACAAGTCTTTGGGTTTGGGCTTATGGGGCTGTCACGTGATGAATGAACGACTCAAACCCGAAGACTCGAGAGATGAACTAATCAATTCTCTTTCCGGCTCAGACTGCATTGGTTAAAGCGGGGGGGTGATTATATAAATTAATCCTTTAAATTGATCAAAAGTACGATAAAGACATTTATAATATTACAAAAGATTTCTATTTCAGATAAATGCTGTTCTTCTGAACTTTCTATCAAAGAAACCGGGAAAAAATCTACTCAACTGTTTTCAACAATAATAATAAATGTTTTTTTTTACAGCAAATCAGCATATTAGAATGATTTCTGAAGGAACATGTGACACTAAAGACTGGAGTAATGATGCTGAAATTTTTGCCTTGAAATCACAGTAATAAATTACATTTTACAATATATTCAACAGTTATTTAGTTATTTTAAATTGTAAAAATATTTCTAAATTGTACTGTTTTTGCTGTACTTTGGATCAAATAAATGCAGAGCAGAAGAATTTAATACACCAATTTTTAATATTACAATTATGAAAAAGTTGTTTGTATCAATGA